ATATGTTAAGATTTGACAAGAAGGACATGTTCCCATCAAGAGAGAGGGGAGTGAGTTGTTTACAAAGGGAAAGCCACACACAAGGGAGGTGGAGGTCTGGGTTTGAGTTGTACCACCATGCTCAATAGAGCCTCTGGCTTGGGGGAAGATTGACAGTTTGGCCCAACTAGTTCCTCAGTAAACTGCACTTAGCTTAAGGGCATACTTAGAAGGGTCTATTCTTTACCTCTCTCTCCCCACCCCTATCCCCGCCCCAGCCATCCATTTCCAGGTTCCTCAGGATAGCATTTAAACTAGTAATAATATTGATTCTTGGGGCTAAAGGAAAGGTGAGTTCTTTGGATTGCATTCTAAATACATTCCTTATGGACTCCTATTTTGGGAATCAGATTCCTTCCCAAGCTTGAAAGGCAAAGATCTACCTGGACACACCTTCTGTATATGGGCCCTGATTCTGCAGATATATGTCTGTCTGTCTCTCCCCCCCCCCCCCCCCCAAGGGTCTGGAAGGAATAGCTGGGATTATGGAATGCAAGCCTTTCTCTGGGCCCATACTCTGCAAACACTTTTTGAAGCATATTTATGGTGGTATCAGACACTCAATATTTTCTGAATATCCTGCTGGTGATATAGTTTCCTCTCCTTCCTGTCCAAAGCCTTCTTTCCTGCAACTGATCAATAGGAAAACAGTGGGACAGACCTAAGAAGGGGTCTTCACTAGGAGACAAAGAGTTTATTTCTCAAACTGGAGAAGCTTCCCTGCTCTCTCGTATATGAAGACTAGCACATCTGCTGGATGAGGGCCAGAGGGGAGAATGCCCTCCATTTATCTTGGCAAACCAAAATGGTGCTTTTCAGGAAGGCTGGCCCACAAAAAGCATCGCCATGTTGACTTAGAGTCAAAGATGTTTAGAGCTGAAGACCCTACTGAGATTAGTCTAGTCCAACCTCAACATTATGGATGAGAAAACACTTTTGCTACTTCACCCTATGGCTAACCCCAGCCCAAGGCCACATTCAGCCTCTTTCTCCCTATAAAGTCTCTTGGTCTCTAGAGAAGCAGAGACCTTTTCTCCCTGGGCTTTGGAGGGCCACCCTTGGCTTCAGTCACCATAGCTGACATTTCTATAGCACTTCCAGGTTTGCAAAGCACTTTATGCACATCACACCATCTGATCCTCAAAACAATCCTTTGAGGTATATGCTCTTCTAATCCCCATTGCACAGATGAGAATACTGAGGCTGGGAGAGAACTTGCCCAGGGTTACACAGTTAGTGTCTGAAGAAGGATTTTGATTTGGGTCTTCCTGACTCCAAGTCCAACACTCTTATCAACTCAACTGTCTTTGCTACCACCAGCATGCTTTTCATTGTCCCCTGATTAGTAGACACAGAAGTTCCCAGAACAAGCCTCACCTCTGCTTGGGGCATGCAATGCCTTGCTCAGCCCCTTGAGCCAGAGCATATCTCAGGTTGCCTTATCTATCTCCAGCAATCTTTGGGGAAGATTTATCCTCCCCCTTCACCTCTTTCTTCCCTTCTTTCTTTCCTCCTCTCTCCCCTTCCCTTCCTCACTTCCTTTTCTTACACTCCCCTTCCAACAGGTCTCTATTATTACAAAATGGGCATTTCTAAAGCTTTCTAATCAAAAACCTTTCCATATCATCCCCACCTGTACCTTTCTTTTCAAAGAGTACTGGCAAGGTTTGGGGTCTGGGTTTTAACAATCTCTTCAGGATGGAAGTTACATATCTACTGCTCCAAATGTCTCCCCTGATTTCTTACACCTCCCTCAATGCTAACTTGCTAAGCTTCATTGTCTTTTGGAGGATAAAGTAGGAATGAAAGAAGAGATTGATTTTTATAGAAAGTACTCCTCACCCTCAACCCTTACTTCTCTCAATAATTTTCCTTGAAGTCATGGAAAACGACTCTGGATGAAAAGGAAAGAATGTTAGCCATTGGGAAGAAGGTGGGAAGAAGGGACAGAGTGGTACCTCTGAGCCCAGACATGGACCCTGGCTGATTTCTCCCACTGTGGTTTTATCCAAACAGAAGATATGAGTACATCTTGAAGTGACTGAAAACCCAGGAAAGATGAAAAGTGAGGGGAGAGAGGGAAGCAGGAACAGAGAGAGAAAGGAGGGTGAGGGTGTGTGGCACTAAGGGATGAGGAAAAGAGAGCAGACACTAACCACAAGATTGGTGAGGTGCAAAGATGGCATGCTCAGACCAAAGAAAAGCCTTTTAAAAGGAAGACAAAAGTGAAATAAACCCTCCCTCCAATTTTGCTAAAGCTTTGTAGAGAGAGCCAGCAGCTAAAAAAAGAAAGAAACTAAAAAAGGATATATGAAAAAAATCAAAAGACAAAGGACCCAATTATCAACCGGTCAGAGCACAGTTCACAGGAAATGTGGCCTGCACAGCTGCTGCCCAGGGGTGCCCATTCTGAGTCCAACCAAAAAGATTCAGGAGATTCAAGATAAAGGGCCTCCAGAGACTGTCCCACAAGTGGGGTTGGGGCAGGGAGGGTCTCCTTCTTTGGTTGATTTTATTCATTTTGTCAATTTTGTAAAATCTCAGATTTCCCAAGAGGAAAAAAGAAAAATCGGAAGAACCCAGCTCTTTCTGTCGGAGACTGCAGGAGCCTACATTCCATTTCTTGCCTGTTCCCCGGGCCTTCTTGCTCTGGGCTGTCTTCCCCATCCCAACCCCCTTATTCTGAAAATTTCCTTTGCTGGAGAAGGGAACCCTCAGAGCTGTCCCAGGTACTAAGAAAGACACAGCTGGAATCTGGTGTCTGGAGACTTGACAAACCAGGCTGACTTTTCCCTAGAGCCTCCCAGGAAGCTATCTCCTCCCTAAATTTCTCCAACTTTCACTGGCTTTTAAGGCTCCCAGACATTATACCCTCAGAAGACTCTTCCTATGGAGCAAAGCTAGAAAGTCCAGACTAATTTTTATCCATCTCGAGAGCTTTCTTTATCAAGACTGCCATCTTTCACAAACTGATGAGCTCCGTGACCGTGACACTGTTTTTTCCAGAAGGTCACTTGAAAGCCCATTATTATTCAGGACTCATTGAATGATACAGTGCAATCCCATTTCATTGACCTTCTCTGCTAGATAGCTCCCAGGCTGAACTCAAGTCAAGCCAGTGGGAGTTTCCCAATCCAGCCTAGTGATTGGATGAAGAACTGTCTTGACTGGGGGACCTTTAGAAATCTTTTCTCCATGACCTGGACCAGAGGAAGCATGGGTTCAACTTCCAATGGCTGTTATGTTAGAATTCTTGGAGAAAGTACTCTACTCCCTGAAGCCTAGGTCCCATATGGGGCCTCTGAAGATGCCTGTTTTCTTCCTCTGACATAGTAAAGTTCTTTTTATTTCTTGCATAATCAAAATCCCAAATGTTGTCATGTTTCTTTTGGATTGGTCTTCCCTTCTGGCACATCAACCACAGGCCCAGAACTGAAAATGACCTAAACTTTTATCTAGTCCAACTATCAGATTTTACAGGGGAGAGAACTGAGACCTAGAGAAATAAAGCGATTGGTCCCAGGTCACACAAGGAACGAGTGGCAAAGTGAGGATTTGAACCTGGATCCTTTGACTCAAAATCCAACACTAGTTTGACTCTCCTTTCCTTATACTGCACATATTCTCCATGGTGCTAATAATATCCCATCTTTAATCTGACTCTTCATGAACAAAATCGTCTCAGGCTAGATGGCAGTTCACTTGCCATTACTAGTGATACCTGACGCGCCTAGAGCACTATAGTCTCTACAAAGCCCTTTCATCCAAGCGAGCCCATCTAAACCTCACGGCAACTCTGTAATAAGTATGGAAAATATTACTATCCCCATCTGATGGATGAAGAAATTGAGGCCTAGGAGGGACCTTCAATGATTTGCCAAAGGTCACAGAACTAGTTTGTAGCAGACTGAACCCAAGTCTCCTACACTGGTATTCTTTCCACCATCCAGGAAACATGACCCCTGATACACGTGTACATATGTACATATGTATATATGTATCTATAGACACACGTGTATGTGTATGCACATACAGATATGTGTACATACGTGCATAAATATACACTTTTTTTTCTTGGCATTTTTCTCATGTCTCTATTACCTTTCTCACAGTGGGTCCCTTCTATGGTCATGGCCCTGGTATCACAGGCTCACACCCACTAGCATTTTGATTATTCATGATACAGGAACAGATTAAATATTTACTGCTCATTTCAGAACCTGCATCCCCTGGGGTTCGTGAGAGCTTTCAGGAGTAAAATGAAAGCAATGTCAATCAAGAACTTGAAAGCTGAATTTTATACGCCATCAATCTCATTATTGACAGAGAGGAAGACCGGAATATTGGCTAGAGGCCTGGCTTTGGGGCTGGATTTGAGCCCTGCCTTTGACACACGCTAGCTGTGTGACCATGGGCAAGCCACTCATTCTCAGAGTGCCCCAAACAATTCTCTAAGACTTATCCATAAGCTAAGTTACAGAAGTTGTCCATGTGCATTGGCAGAGGGAATATCCACACTGGGAGGTCCCCATGCCAATGAAACCACACACAGAGAGCAAAAAAGATGACTAGCTCCTAAAACCAAGGCCACAAAGAACCGACCACATCTCCTACTTCTTGCTGCCTCTCACCAACGGTCTTCCTTTGCCAAGCTCTGCAATGGATTCTACCAGACTGTGCTGAATGGCAGCTGCCCAGCCCAATTGGTCACTTCCCCATGATTCCGAAAGACTCCCTGTCAGTTGCCATGACAATGGCTCTGCTGCCTCCATGTTGGAAATTGTTCTACTCTGAAGTGATGTCCCACGCCCTTGGGCTCTCAGGGCATCTGAATGGTAGGATCATAACCATAAACATCTGTGGAATTGGTGCCCTCACAGGTCCAATCGTGCTCAGACCGCAGTTCCCTCATGCGAAAGAGCTAGTTCCCTCCCAGCATGCTCTCCTGAAACCTCACCAACCTTCCTACTAAACTGAACAGGGGGGAGCGGTCGTAAAATGGATCTCGGCCACCATCACACAGCGAGTACTCTGGAAAGATGTCTTCCTCGAAGTCCTCATCCTCCTCCTCCTCCTCCTCCTCCTCCTCCTCCTCCTCCTCCTCATCCTCCTCCTCCTCCTCCTCCTCCTCCTCCTTCCCCACATGCTGCTCGTCAGCAGGCTCGGTGATGTCGGAGTCGGGGTTCGAGAAGGTGGGGGAGGGGGTGAGATCAGCCATGCGCTCGCTCATGCATGTGTTGAAAAGAGGAGAGCTGTTGCAGCCAGAGACATCTGAGCTGAGGTTAGTACAAGATAGAAGAAAGGTTAACACCAGCTATTCCAAATTGAGCAGGATAGAGAAGGAAAATAAAATGGTGGCTTTATTTTCTAAAACACAAAACAAAACCAAAATAATCCCAAACCAACAACCACAACGACCCCCCCTCCCAAGAAATGCTGATGGTGGAGATGGGAAGAACAAGAACAAACCGGCCCACCCTGTGCCTTCCACAGAAGCTGCAAGAGCTGTCAGCTAGAAGGACCAAAACAGAGCAGTTCAATTTGGGGTCTCCCAGGGTGGGCGGGGACCGGCGGAGGGTTGGTCAAGACAGAAACACATTCATTAGAACCACGGCATGGAGTAATAATCCCAGACAGACCCTCCTGTTCCCAGGCCTCTGCCTTGGGGGCTACAGGTCAAAGGAGAAGGGGCAGACTGATAAGACCTTTGAGGTGACAGCCCCATGCCCTTCCAGTCAGAATGCTGAAGGCACAGGTGTGCATGTGATTCATACAGCACAGAGATGGATGCTGGTAGCTCAGTGAGAACACACAAAAACACACAGTCCAGGGATGCAAAACCCATCTGTGAGTCATGGATGGCAACAAGGAGTCTTCGCCCGGTCTTCACACACGAGCTCCCCCTCCCCCCTTCCCTTGGCCAATGAAGGAGATGCTATGGGCTCTGATAAAGTGTGGCCAAGAGTACCAGTTTCACAGCTGGCAGTGCTGGTGGTTGGGGTACTTTGGGGCTCCCGGGAAGGGGCTGTGGCATTCAGCTCCCCTCAGGGTGTGTCATTCTCCATCATTAGCTGACCTAAAAACCCACTCTCTGCTCACCCCGCTACTGGTCAGGTAACAGAACCCTAGGCCTCATGGTTAGGTCAATCCAGTAACTGATGCCTTCCCAGTGGAAGGTTTCTATATTTGTAGTTCCATGAGAACTCTTTCTCTCTCTCTTTCTGTCTGTCAGGGGAAGAAAAGAATGCTCTCACCTGCCAACCAGTCGGAACCAAGGGAATCGGTCGTAGAAAGGGTCCCCACCAGTGACCACATTGTCACAGTCCTCAATGACACTGGAGGGCACCTCGGCAGCCCGGTCATACATCTCACGCATCAGATCAAGTCTCTGCCTGTAGTGAAAGGAGACAAGTGGCCTGAGCTGGTGCTGGGGGCAGCGAGTGCAGGGGCCTGAATGACTCTCCATGGTGGTGGGATATGGATTCAGTGGGTAAATCTTGAGAGGAGACTGAGGGGGAGAGACAATGACATTGATAGTTGATGGAGGTGGAGACAGAAAAGAGACCTTGCGGCACTGAGCAATGAGGCAGAAACTCTTCCTGCCTTCATGCCCAGATGTTGGCTGTGTGGGGCAAAGCCCTAGTCATCCCACACCCATTATTATTCTGTATGAGGTCACCCAAGTCTCCTTCAAGGCTGTGTGGTAGGGCCCCCAACTAAACTTCCCTAATTAGTACCTTGGGAGAATCAATCTAAGATGATAAGAGCGTAGGCTTAGGGCTAGTAGGGAACTCAGAAGCTAACTGCCTCATTTTTCAGATGGGGAAACTGAGGCCCCTGGTGGTCAAGTGACTTACATAGCATCACAGGAGGTGTTTGAACTCATGTTCTCTGACTCCAGAGACCATTCTTTAGCCTGGGGGCCTATACCAGACTGAATTCTCATCCCCCTAACTTTTGGATTTTTCCTTTGGGCAAAGAAGCATATGCAAAAATGTCTGGAAGGTTGACTTATAGGAATGACTCTGGCACTTTGGGTCTTGCAGCCCTGAACTTGGCTCAGCTCTTGTGATCCCTCCTCCGGTGTTAAGCCTTTCCAGGTTCCCCAGATCTTGGTGCTTTCTCCCCACCCAAAATGTGTATTTGCTTATCTTGGCATAGGGGGCAATCGCAGTAGAATAAAAGCTTCTTGGAAGCAAGGATTATTTAATTTTATCCCGAAAGCCTGGCACACAGTAGGTGCTTAATTGTTGGATCAGGTGAATGGCCGCACTGTGCTCATTCTCACCACCATGAATCTGAAGGGACATGAGCTGCCAGGACAGATGTCCTGACTCGCCTATTCTCCCCCAGTCAACCAACTGCTTTCACTGAAATCAGATGCCTGCTATAAGGAAGACTTTATCGTTACTGTCCGGTTGTTTTCAGTCATATCTGACTCTTCATGACCCCATTTGGGGTTTTCTTGGCTAAGATGCTGAAGTGGTTTGCCGTTTTCTTTTCCAGCTCATTTTACGGATGAGGAAACTGAGGCAAACAGGGCTAAGCAACTGGCCCAGGGTCACACAGCTAGTAAATATCTGAGGCTGGATTTAAACTCACAAAGATGAGTCTTCCTGACTAGAGGCCTGGAGCTCTAACCACTGTATCACCCAGCTGCCCTAGATTTCATGATCCATCTGTAAATCCCAGGGGGCAGCAGGCTGGGTTGGAGTGGGTGGGGTGGAATTTTGCTCCCGCACTAGCTTCTTTACAACATGCTCCGCTCTCTGCTTATCTGCCCTGGATCACCAGACAGCTCATGGTCAGGTAATGGAAATCAACGTTATGATGTTCAAAGGAAAATTAACCAAGAATGGCAATCTGTGACCCAACAGTTGTCAGATATGCCCCACTGAAAATATAACTTCCTACTATGCTTTCTTGTGTTAAAAATCCACACAACTTCCCCATTCGTTTGATTGAAGTCTCTGCTGCCTCAATATGGTTATTCAAAAGGTAAGGAAACAGGGGGCAGCTAGGTGGTGCAGTGGATAGACCACCAGCCCTGGAGCCAGGAGGAACTTGAGTTCAAATCCAGCCTTAGACACATAACACTTACCAGCTGTGTGACCCTGGGCAAGTCATTTAACCCCACTGCCTATCCTCCCCCCACAAAAAAAGGTAAGGAAACAGGCATTCAGGGACAGATTCTGATTTTTGGGGGGAGTTCAAACTTGTAACTTGATTGGGGCAGGGAACTCCCAATGTGCAAACTCCCTCCAACAACATAGATTGACATTTGAATTGCAAGTTATCTTATAGAATTGCCTGCAGCCTTGAGAAGTTGTCACTTTTCCAGAGTCAAACAGCTTCTATATGTCAGTGGCAGGGCTTGAACCCAGATTTCCCTGACCCCAAGGCTGGCTTTCTCTCCACTGCCCCATGTTGCCTCTCACAGACATATCTACAATGTTATGTGCATGGCAGGAAACTATGATGTTTGGACGCAGCACCATTGCCCTTCCTAACCTCCTTTTCTCTAGCTCAGTTCTGCGTAAAGTAGTTCACATAAGAGAATGAACATGAAGCAATTGGATTATAATCTTCAAGTCTACAAAGAATTCTCACAAGTAGGATGCCAAGTACTCATTGCCAATGACCATGGAAGAGCAAACCACAGAATATTAGAGCAGTAAAAATCATGGGTAGACACTGGAAAGGCAATTAGGGCCAGAATATGCTGAGAGGGAAGACCAAGAGAGGCAACCCAATGTCCATGCCTGAAGTTTTTCCAAGAAGAAAACAGACAACCACTGACTGATAATGTCCTGTCTCACACTAGCTGTAGAATTTTGACACCAGGTGTTAAGTGCCACAGACTACTGTATTTTGGAGGTGGTGGTAGGGCTCCCTGGAGTTAGAGAAGCATAGAGTGATAAAAGCTGGGGGAAACTTTGCCACTGAGTGGTAAGCTCTGTTTTATATTGCTGAGAGGGATGCAAGTGAAGTCAGTGTCCTCTAAATTCAGCCTACATTCAGAGTCCTGAGACAATGCCCCATTGGCCTTTCCTAGCTACAGATCTGATTCTCATCCATGAGTTCTACCTTGAGTAGAGATAGCATTAGAGACTTGCTAAGAAGCTCCTCTGTGAGCTTAGCTTCTGGAAACCAAAGGGTAGCTCACCCAGAAGTGGATTTTAATGTAATTCTAATGACTGACTTCTTATTGGTTGAGGTGTGCCCTCTGGGTCCCACATGTCCATAATTCCCCCTCTTCCATTCAAGGAATCTGGCACTCCAAACAAGCCTTGACTGGGCTTTGAGGTCCTTGGAGGTTATGCCCACCAAGAAGCACCAGGCATATAGCTTGCCAGCTCTCTGCTATCCCTGGGGGCAGTGAAATACAATGAAAAGATCACTAGCTGTAGGATCTGGGTTCAAATTCCATCTCAGATGGCTACCATTTATGTGATTCTGAGCAAGCCACTTCCCTCCTCTGGGCCTCAGTTTCCTCATCTGTAAAATGATGGGGCTGGGCTAGGTGGCTTTTGAGATCTCTTCCAGGTTCAATCTGGGATCCTGAGTCACTTTCCTTTTTGGGGGTTCAGTTTCCTCATCGTAAAATGGTGGGGTTGAACCAGATCGCCTCTGAGCCCCAAGGTAAAAATCTGTGTATTTTCTCAACTTGTCCAAACCATGCAAGGACATTTGCTAAACCTTTCTCTTCTCCTCAATTCTCTAGCCTGCCTTCAGGTCCTGGATTGCCAAAGCTTCCTCTTCAGAGGTCATTCTTTCTCCTCCAGTCTTCCAAGATCATCATCCTTCCTTATCACCTGACCCCTACCTGAGTTTCTCCAGTGTCCAATAATGGGTAGCACCATTCTTCTGGTCCTGGACCTCAATAGCCACGATGGTCCGTGGGAAGGGCCGTTTTTCTCTTTCTTTGGCAGCATCAGGGGGAAGCAAATCCGGAGGTAGGGGAGAGTAGAGAGTGTCCGTGAGGAGAACAAATTGGAATTGGACCTGGTGATAAACACAGGGAGAAAATGTCCAAACATCTCTAAGCTTCCAGGATCCCCAGCTGAGGACCTCTCTTACCTTCCCTTTCCCCCCATTCCCCCACAATATGGCAGCCATGTGCTAGGATATAAGGTCTTGGGACCTTCAACAGGAGCTTTCCAGGAAACTGAGAGTAGATGGTCACCAGACAGGCTAGTTTAATTGGAGGTTTTTGAACCAATGATCTCCTAGAGCAAATTTCATCAGCCTGCCTGGTGTTAAGACTTTACTTGAGAAAGGGGTAGATTTCCATCCCAGTCACTTCACTCAAGTGAGAGATCACTTTTTGGGTGCTATATACCCCCCACCCCCACATAAAAGATCTACTTCATCTCTAGGGCCAACACTGATAAAACAATGAATACCACCACCTCCAGGTCATGGAATCAGGGGCACTGTAAGTGCAAGGATCTTTTTAGTTGGTATGACATAAAGCCAGTGATCCCTGGGTCTTGATAGTAACCTGAGCAATATTTAGGGGCTATTACAGAGGCACTATCAGGATCACTGAACTCTCTCCTGAAGCTTCAATATTGGGAGTCAACTCAGTGAAGGTGGAATGAAGAAGGACTAAGTAGGATGGCAAATGGGATGTAGGAAAGGGGTGTAAAGGTGAAGAGGACAGTCCAACTTTGAGCACAGTCACTATAGGGAGGTGGTCTCCCCAGTGATTCCCCAGATGTCAGTACTGTGGGTCCAAGCCCTTATGTTAGTTCTAGCTCAACTCTAGCAAAAACAAACCATCTTACCTTTTTCTTTAGCTCCACACTAATGGCGTTGGCTTCTTTGAGGAAAATGGCATTGCCCCACAAGAGGTCTCTCAGTGATGTAAACTGGTACCACTTCCACTTCCTAAAGGCCCAAAGTGCCAGTTCAAATTCCCTCTCTGTCCACTGGACTGTTGAGAGAAAAAAAACTCACATGGTCATTCCAGGGAAGGGCAGTCATCCCTCACCACTACTCCCTGGAGCCTAGTGCCTTCTGGAAAGTCAGGGATGTAATTTCTCTGACACGGAAATGTAGGGAATGATTTCTGGTCAATACAAGGGCAAGGAGGAGGTCACAAGGGAGCCAGGCACCTCCCATCACCTTCATGTTCAAGGGTCTTGGCCATAACTGGAAGCAATTAATGACTGCTTGTTGAAGTAGAGAGACTAAGAAAAGATGGCGGAGACATCAAAGGCAAGAAATGGTTTTTAAAAATCCTACAAGATAACAGTCATTGAGTAAAATAAACTGAGGACAAGGAAGAAGAGTGTGAGTATTGTAAAAGTAAAGTCATACTATGTCTTGTCTCAATGGCAGAAGTACTATGGAGGATCAGGCCTCGTGCCATGGAGTGAGGAGCTCATGAAAAGAACGCTTTAGAGGTGAAGTGACTTGCCCAGGCTGTATGTTACACCATTTGGTCACTGAGTGCCCTTGACCTTTTTCTCTCTGTGATAAACAGATTGGCCACAGGGTCCCTTCCCCTCTCTGGGTGTCAGCTTCCTTAGTTGTACAATGAGAGGGTGAGACTGGATGACATCTAAGGAACCCTCTGAGTGCTTAAATCCTCTCCTTTCATGGGCTCGCCATGGCACAGGCCAATCATCATGATGCAGTGGAAAGGACGCTGGATTTGGAATCATAAGAACTTGGTACAAATCCCAGCCCTATCATCTGCTCCCTGAGTGAACTAGCATAAATGACTCCCTCTCTGGTGCTGGCTTCTTCCTTCATAAAATGAGGGGTTGACCTGGATGGTCTTTAAGGTCCCTCTGCCTCTACCATCTGATGTCCCTGCCTTAGAGGGACTGTTTGGGCTCTATTTCCCTCTTTGTTGGCAGTGGGTGTCATGTGAGTATAGTGCAGTACAGAGGACAGGGAGCTGCCCTCAAAGCCAGGAAGATCTAGGTTCAAATCCTGTCTTGAACACCTACTAGCTGTATGACCATGGGCAAGCAACTCAGCCTCTTGGGGCTCTAGGCCAGTGGTGTCCAACTCAAATAAAATGGATCCCTGAACAGAGCATATAGATTTAGAAAACCACAAATTAACATTGTCTATGCTGTATTATAGTCTTATTTATTTTGTTAAATATTTCCCAATTACAGTTTGGGAACATTCTGTTTCTGACTGCACTGCAGAGTGTGGTGTGCCAGGGTTTGACACCTCTGCTCCAGGAAATTCTCTGTGACTGCAATTTACAGAGAAGGTGCTGGCCAGCATGGGCAGAAGGAATTTCCTCACCTAAGAGTCCTTTATTCCAATCTCATCACTACTGGTCCATTAGTGGATCCTAATGACCAATCATTTTTTTTTCTACTCAGACTCTCAGAGCTGGCAAGAATCTCAATTTTCTGCTCTAACCTCTAGCTGAATAAGTATTCCTTCCTCAGTATCCCCAACAAGGAGTCATTCAGACCCTGTGTGAAGTCCTTCAGTCAGTAGGACCTGCCATCTCCTGAGACAGCCTGTATCACTTGCAGATAACTTTTGTCATCAGAACATTTATCTTTACATTAAGCCCAAATTTGCTTCTTTGTACCTCCTGCCCTTCATCACTCCTAGATGAACACAGGAAACAGGAAACACAGGCTCCTGTTTCCACTTTCCTTGGGCATTCTTCACTTGGAACCGCTCTAGAATAGGGAAGAGACAGAAGATAGTGTCCCTTACCTTCATCTTCAGGCTCTTCCTCCTCTTCATTGACCTCTGGGTAATACCTGGAATCCATCTGCTTTTGCAAAGCCTCAAGCTTACTCTCATAGTCCTTAGGGAGAAGAAAGATCAAGTGACCTGGCTGGTCTTCACCATCCCATGATCCCATGTCCCCAACCCAGATCAATGCAGCAAACTACCAAGGTTTATGGTTAGGGTCTCTTGTTAAGTAGGGTCTGAGAAGTCAGAGTACTTTATTAAAATTAATCTGAGCTAGTTCTCAGCTCAGAGGCACAAAGGTTACTTCAGGACAAAACCCCACCAAGAAACTTATTGGTGTCCTCTGAGTGCCAGGGGAAAGGGCAATGACTCCTGTACCAGTCTCTGCTGCTCGAGGAGGTAATTGGCTTCTTCTCTCTCCTTCCGATATTGGTCCTCAAGCTCCTGGAGTCTGTGAACCAGAAGGGAGAAAGGACAAAGTGATCCACTGAGACAGGTACAGAGACAAGGAAAATTTTTTGTTGATGAGGATGATGATGATGATGATGTGATATGGTGGAGAGAATGGTGCTCTTGGAGTCAGGAAGACTTGAATTTCAAATCTCAATGCTAATATTTACTAGATATGTGATCCTGGGTAAATCACTAAGCTCCCTAATCCTCGGATAACTATCTAAGACCTAACTAAGTCATAGGCAGGTTATGGCTTACATTGATGAAGGGAATTCTCACAATAGGATGTCTCCACATTGATTAAACCAGAAATCCTTGATGTGTTTGCATAATAATAATAATATTATTGTTATTGGGGAACTGGGGCTTGGATTTGTAATCTCATTGGCATAGGGAATTCCTGGTTAACAAATTCACTCCCCCAGTACAGATCAGCCCTTTTTCTGCAACATACAGAGAGTTGCCTGGGGCTTTCAGAGGTTTGGTGATTTGCCCAGGGTCACATAGTCAGGACGTGTCACAGGCAGGACTTGAATTCAGGCATTCCTGACTCTGAGTCTGTCTCTTGAACCACTATTTAATTGAATTTTAATACCAATTTTGATTTTCAATACCAATAATAGCTCCGCGAAACCCACCCATCCCCATCCCCATCCCCATCCCCATCCCCATCCCTATCCCGTCCCATCCCACCCCATCTCAGTGCTCCTCACCTCTGTTCCATCTCCTGTTTCATATCAATGCCTTGTTTTTCGAGTAGCTCACGTTGGGCAAAGGCCCAGTCCACCGGCTCTGCAGGTGTCTCTGCACACGGGGTCCGTTCGCGCTCTTGCCGAGCCTGCTCAGGATGGTTGAATCGGAATACGTGACTCTTCCCCATGATAATGCGATTTCCTGTCAGCAAAATAAGGGACAGGATTGGGAGGTCGTCCATGGTGAAGGGAGACCAAGGAGAATCAGAGCAGCCTGTTGGGAAATGAGGAAAGGGGCTGGGCAGCCAAGGCACCATGGCCAGCCCTTCTCTCTAGATCAGAAGATAGCAATGTCTGCTGCTCTGAATGTAGTGTCATATGTAACTGCTGTAATACAGAAACATGGACCTCTTGAGACGATTTACTGGCAGAGCTGAAATGAGGCCAAGTTTCCTGAAATGTGCTCTCATCTTTTAAGACAAATGCCATCAAGGGAATGAAGGAGTAGAGACCCTGGGACGAGAAGTGGTTGTTGGGGGCTGGGGTAGGGAGAGGAATTTGCCTGGGTGTGGCAGGCCATCAGAGGAGACGTGCAATCTGGAAACTTCCTACTTCCTTTATCCTTCCTAGCTAACTAGGCACTAAGTTCAGGTGTTTCTCAATAAATTCAACAAACATTTATGATGTACCTACTCTGTGCCACGATGAATAATATGCAGAGTCTCCATTTTCACTAGGTTCTGTTCTATATTTTCCCCCTTAACACACACAATACAAGGAGAGAGGAAGCACCAGTGATTGACTTCCCCACCGTTTTATTAAAAATCACCAAATGTACTTCAAATGAGGGTGCATTGACATGATTTTAAAAAGGCTCGTTAAGGAGCCGGCATCCACTCCGTCAGCTGGTGGTCTTGTTCCCATAACATCAGGCATACACTCAGAGGGATTTGGTTTTCACTTTGTCGGCTGAGTTTGAAACTGATCTGGATGATGGGTTTGACATTGACCTTGTGTTCAGAGTGCCTAAAGGTATGATAGCCTACATCTTTCCAAGTCATTAAAACAAAGGAGGACTGATTATGTATGGAGGATTTCCTATCAGTGACTAAGAAGCAACATTTTATAGTGGTCACAATACTGGACTGGGCATCAGATGGTCATCATTCTGCTCCCAAGTCACTGACTCTTCTTGGAAAAACCTCTCATCCCTTCTTCATGTCAGTGTCTTCCTTTATAAAATGGATAGGATCGATGCCATCCCCCACCCCACCCCCACCCCCATCCCCCTGCCTTATCATTAGGATTGTTTCCTGCAAAGGCTTCCGTTGAGGTCCTGTTTTCAATCTGCTAGTAGGACTGGTTCCCTCAGCCTTCCTCATGGAGCTTTCCCCATCTGGCTCTTGGAACCATGCTGTCTTCTCACCTATGCCTTAATCTGACCACTCCTGACCAGCTCTTCTAGGAGGAAGCTGACTAACCTCATCAGAGGTATTATAGAGAGGCTATCTGAAGAACCCAGGAGTTCGGACTATGTGACCTGCAAGGATCCAATCAACCCTTATTTTCTGCTAAATTAAGCAGGATAATAGAAGCTTCTTCATCAAACCTGAGCATCATAAGTTAACAGATTTCAAAGGAACCTCAGAAAGCATTTAGTCCAACTGATACCTGAACAAGAACTCCCTCTACCACACACCCAACAAGTGATCACCCAGCCTTAGTTTGAGGATGCTCAATGAAGGAGAGCCCTCTCAAAGCAGTCTATTAGGAAGAGCTTTCTGCCATCAAGTCTCCATGTGCTTTGCGGTCACTTTTCCCTGGGGTCAAACAGACCAAGCCTAATCCTTCTTGTGCATGCCAGCACTTCGAATACTTGAGGATGGCTATCATGTCCCCCACCCACCCTAAACCCCTCACCTGAAGGCTTCTCTTCTCCAAACTAAAAAGAGTATTATGCCTGGGTTTTGTAAAGAACAGCTTTACACATACAAGAGAGGGGAGACACAGCTAACTAGCATTTTTCTTGAAAAAACATCTGTGGGTTTTAATAGACTGTAATTTCAACATGAGTCATTAGAATGATACAAAAGTCAAGAAAGCAAATGCAATCCTAAGCTGCAATAAAAGAGACAACAGGTCCATGTCTAAGAAGGTGATAGTCCCACTGTAGTCAGCCCTGATCAAACCACACGGGAAGCACTGTGGTCTTTTAGGAGGGTCACTTTTTAGCAAAGACATTGATAAACTAGATTGTTGAAAGGATGGTAGCCAGGGCAGCGACGGGACTCTGGGTCATGCCTTATGATGATTGGCTTAAAGGAAGTGGGGAGCTCTAGCCTGGAGAAGAGAAGACCGAGAGGACCAGCATCTATCTTAAGATACTTGAAGGGCCATCATGGAGAAGAGGGTGGCCTTACACAGGGTAAAACCAAGTACAACGGGTAGAAGTCACAGAGAGGCTGGGTCAGAGGTCAGCATAACTTTCCTAACCATTACAGGATGTACAAGAGAAGAAATGAGCTGCCTCAACAGGTGTCTTCAGACCATCCCTTGAGGGGCATGTTGAGGCGACTCTTGTTCAGAGATGAGTCAGGCTAGATTCCATCCTTTAACATTCTATGATTCCATATCTTTACATTTAACCCAATTAGATTGCATCTTGTAGGGTCTGGCCCAAAACTCAAGCTTATCTAGATCTTTGGGATTCTGTGTCTGGCAGCCAATATATTTGCTCTCCCTCCCAGTGTGTTGCCATCTACAAATTTGCCAAGAAAGTTATCTATACCTTTTAATCAAGTCATTGATAAAAATCTTTACTATGTTATGGAGATGCTTGTTTTATTCCATAAATAAAAATAAAATTAATAAATAAGTTTTAAAGTAAAAAACAAATCTTAGACCACTCAGGGTCAGACTCAGAGCCATGGGGCACTCCACTGGAGACTTCTCACTAAGCTGACAGTGAACCTTTAATGGCTACTCCTGGATCCAACATTTGACCAATTCTAGATTAACATTACCGTATCATTGTTTAGCTCTTATCTCTCTACCAGAAGGCCATGAGAGACTTAGTTAAATGCTTTAGGAAACAAAACAAAAAATGTATGTTTCCCCTTTTGAGAGAAAGTGGCCTCAGTTCCCAGTATTGTTATTGCACTGAGGATGTCATTTATAGACCTGTAATCTTCTCTGCTAGGCTGGGAGTTCCATGAGGGCAGGGACCACTGTCTTATGGATTCATCTATAGATCTCTCACAGAACCTAGTGCGTGACCTTGCCCATGGCAGCCATTTGATAACTGATTGTTGAATGAATGAATTTCCATATGATGAAAATGTAGTTAATAGTGGTCCAGGCCTCATTCCTCCATGATGAGTGGGGCCCCTTCCCCAGAGAGACAGAACTTACCAGATCGTAGAATGCTTGGTTCTGTCACTTTTTTGCCATTGACATAGGTGTCTGCCCCCTCACATGGTTCCAGGGTCACCACTGCTACAGGAAAGAAACAAGGAAAAAAGCAGAAAGAGGAGGAAGACAGAGAAGAAAAAGAAACAATGTCAGTATGGGGACTGGGGCTCCCCTCAGTGGTCCCAGAGAGGATGCTCATTGGTACATGTTCCTCTCAGAGGCGGTAGGCCTGAGGGTGAGGGCACTGAATGTGGCGGCACTCTAAAGATCGTTGAATCAGATTGAGTTCAATTGAAATGTCATCTAAGTTTTCCCAAAAGGGGTCAGAGGGCAGGTTTTCAAATTCCACAGGGATCAATCACTTTGCAATGGCATGTCTGGAAAGGGCATGGCTTCTCAAAGTCTTTGTTCCTTTCTCCTAAAGTGGGGAGTAGGTAACTTGGGGTGTGTGTTGTTCTCACCACAAGGATAGCAGTGGTGGACCTGGAGTCAGAGGATCTGAGTTTAAATACTGGCTGTCCCACTTCCTACCTATGTGACCTTGGTCAAGTCTCATCATCTCTGCTCAATTGTAAAATGAGGGGGTTGGACTTTATAGCCTCCAAGGTTGATTCTAGCTCTAAACTGTCTGATCTTGTGTTGGGGACACAGGACTTCCCTGAGGTACTGGCCTATTTGTGTCACCCAGGTGCATCTGAAGTCATTGGTTTGACATGAGGATAAACTTAAGAGAGTTACATGGAAGGAGGCAGAGTGATGACATGGCAAAGAGCCCAAGGCTTGGTGCCAAGGGACCTGGGTTTGAATCTTGGCTCTGTTGCCAAGGATGGTGACTTTGGGTAGGTCACTTCCCTCCTCTGGGACTCAGTTTTCTCATTTGTAAAATTCAGGAGTTGGGTTAGAGTGCCTGTGAGGTCCCTCTCACATTGTGCTCTGCATCTATATACCTATCTCAATTTGTTTCTCTATAAACTGAGGCGGTTCAACTGGCTAGCATCTTATGGCCCCTCAGGGTCTATATCTGAGGTCCTAGAATAAGAGCTGAGAATGATATGGCCTCTTAGGGTTTGGGAAGCACTTTCTGCCCATTGGCTCCTTTGATCCTTACAACAACCCTGGGGGGAGGGATAAGTATGGAAGGTATTATTACTTGCATTTTACAGAGGAGGAAACTGAGGCTCAGAGAGCATAAATGACTAGCCCAAGACCACATGGATAATCCGTGACAAAGCAGGATTTGAACCCAGATCCTATGACTTCAGAGCTAGTGTTCCTACATGACTGTTTTAACTGAATAGAGTCAACCAGGGTTTTGATAAGGACTAATTGGCATGACTCAGGGGTGTGTGTGTGTGTGTGTGTGTGTGTGTGTGTGTGTGTGTGTGTGTG